CGAAATACTCGGGTGATTGATGCTTCTGCTTCATGCTGAGTCAATTGATGCGGTCGGGGCTCAGAGTCGGACATACTACAAGAAGCAGCAACAAAAACGCAAGAAGCATGGACTAAGGCAACAGTGAGCAACAAAGCTAATGTCACTTTATGCAAGGTGAGAGAGGCTTGCATGCTTGTGGGAAGAAGGGGCATTACGCTAAAGTGTGTAAGTCCCGAAGTCAGCCTACAGCTGTGCATCTGATTTCAGTAGGAGAGTCGCAAAGTTATGAAATCCTTTCTTTTCATGCTACTAAGGACGTGTTCTTGTTTGACGTAACTTTGAATGATTCAGTACAACTTGACATAGATAATACCTATTGATATGTTCGACAAACGTTTCGCACGAGAAGCTCTTCTCCCTCCAAAACGAGTGCTCACAACCTTCTTGTGAAATGAAATTCCAGTCATTGGTATGTTTACCAAAAGTAACTCATAGAGATTTGCGAGTCCAAGGACAGTTATTTATAGTTGGAAGAGGAAGCTGCATAATGTGTCGTGACCTCATGAAACTACTCCAAGTGTTGCCCTAACTGCCGGAGAAGGAGGTTAAGAGTTTCAACGCTGCATAGTTCAAATACCGGTACACCTTTAGCGGTAGTGTCGGTCTGGAAAAGGGATACGTACATAGTATTAACATGAAGCCATACGTTCTACCGGTGGCCCACAACCTACACCGCCTTCATGTTGCTCTTCTTTAAAAGGAGACTGCAGAGCTTGCTAGACTTGTGAAATCGGATATGTCCGAAAGGGTAGATGTGAGTGAATGATTTCACCTCTTGCGGTGGTTCATAAGAAGCCCGGGGACATCCGTCTTTGCGTAGATCTACGCAATGTCAGCAAAGTTATTGTGGAAGACAAGTTCCCTATCCCGAATATACAGGACTTGTTTGCAGAGCTGAGAGGAGCTACCGTGTTCAGTTCCCTCGACTTAGCTTCTGCCTATCATCAACTACTACTACACGATGAGTCGCGTGATATGACTACTTTCATAACACACGAAGGATTGTTCCGATTCAAGCGTGTGTGGTTTGCATTGTCTTTAGCGCCCTCAGCATTTTAGAAGTTTATGTCATCTGTTTTTAGAGGGTTGAGTGAACTTCAGTGTTACCTGGATGATGTGGTTGTTTATGGTGCCACATAAGCTGAGCATGATCTTCACTTGAGCACAGTTCTTGAGCGTCTACAGAATGTGGGACTTTCGCTTAATACACAAAAATGCCAGTTCAACCTTTCGCAGATTCGATATCTGGGACATATTGTTTCAGCCAAGGGGATGGAGCCAGATCCATCACACGGCGAAGCGATTCGCAATGCTCCTGTACCAACATAAATAGCCACAATCAGATCGTTCCTGGGACTTGCTTCATATTATTCGCGCTTTTTCCCACACTACTCTACGATCACAGAGCCACTTATAGCTCTGACGAGAAAGGACGTTTTATTTGCATGGACTACGGAAGTTCCCCAGGCCTTCGATAAAGTGAAAGAGACGATTGCCAACAGTGTCACGTTGGAACTCTTCGATCCTGACATTCCAGTTGTCGTAGCTACTGATGCATCTGCCTATGATATGCTGTTGCAGTGTAGAACATGATCACATCGGTCAATATCCGCCTACGAAGTTTTTCAGGTACACAAAACAATAAATATACTAAAGTTAGAGAGCGAGTGGGCGAGAAACGAGCGAAATCGCGAGTGTCCAACGATAGAGTGAGATCAGCTACTGTCCCTACATTCAAAGGTGGGGATTTTGGTTAGAGTCAATCGACCCGTGACATGTGAAGGTTCAAAACACTACCAATCGCACAGAATAGTGGGAAAGAAAGGAAGTTACAATTAGGAGATGAACGTATTTTGGAATGCATCACAGCTAACACCGTGTTATTCCGGGTCTGATGACATGTCCAAGCAATTTTTTATCACCAACGCACAGAAGAATGCGGAGAGAGCAAAGCGTGTAGAGAAAACATCCAAAGTGGATGCAAGATTATGTGAAGTAAAAATGTAAAGATGTCTACCGGAAACTTCAATGTCGGACTCAAAGACTCACTTTAAAATGATTGAATTTATTACACAAATGGTTCGATTCATATGTGTAATTTATTCATTATATATACTTGTTTGTACTCCAAGCATGCGTAGAAGCATACCTGCTAATTTGTTTCAAATAAAAAACATTAAAATAATATTTCTTTGTTAAAAAATAAAGTGTGAAATTGTAAAGTTATGGATGCAACTCATGATAAAGAGAATTTCCCTACAGGAGGGGAACATTTGGTGTTCATTATACAAATATCTATGAAAGTCTGAAGTCAAAACTACAGAAAACAAAGATGGCATAAATATTCATAATTGAATGACACACGCCCTTAAAATTAAAACAACAACAACAACGGCAAGAATAAAGTTTCGATAAACCTCATAACTTCTCTGAGTTATTTTGATCATTTCGTCGTGTGCGCACACGCACACACCAAACACACGATACTCATTTAAACTGGTTGCCAGGCCAAACTTTACATTTGTATGGCTTAAAATATTATTTTGAATGATTAAGCTGTTACACTCTAGAGTAAATATTATACTACCAGTAAATTTAATTTAACTTTAAATTCAACGGGACCCAACAGTAATCTTCACAGTTTTAGTTTATTAAACATTAATGTTTTGATAATGTTGAAGAATTTGTTATCTATCTTAAACGCACTTCCGTTTTTTTAAATAGGAATTACAAAAAATTGGTTACACTTTACTTCTCCTCCAAACATTATATTTTATAAATTATTGATGGGTAAACATAAGAATGAAATCGTATTGGTAGTGTAGAGACCCCCTAATAATGTAGCCGATACATTTTCACTTAAATTAGAATCATGTTTCCAATTTATTTCTAGAGAAAATAATGAAATATATATCATGGGAGACTTAAATATTGATTTGTCCTTACCTTTACAACACTAATTTTTTTTTTTACTAATTTTGTATTATTATTTTATTTTAAAATTCTAATCAATAAACCAACTAGAATTACAAACGTAACACATACTGTAATTGATAATATTTTACCAAATATATAATAAACAGAATGGAATAATTTTCCATGATATTTCAAACCATTTACCCATAGTAACGATATGTTTGAATGATATAAACTTATTAGAAATTCCCAATAAAAAACATTCAACACGATGTAAAGAAACAAAGCGTAATCTAGAAATCCTTAACGATAGACTTGAGTCAAGAAGGTCGGTATGATATTCATTGTGATAGAAATATGAACAGATCATAGTAAAACAAATTATAAACAAACGTCTTTGACATTATGACAAAAAATATGCTCCTCGCAAGTATCAAATTAACTAATAAGATAAATAAACGATCATGGATTACCCAAGATATAATCAAATCAATGTCCACTCGAATTCGTTTATATAAAATATCATTTCGATCACCTTCAAACGAAGAAAAAATTATGCTATTATAATAAAATTGAAAATAGTAAAGATGGTAATCAATCATTATGGCAAACAACTAATGACAGTTTATGGAAGAAAAGGGATACTCTAAATAACATTGGGTGGTATTCCGATAGCGCGTACTAAGTTAGCCTGGCTTAACTTATTCCACACTTTTATGCAGTGCCTGTTGTCAACTCATTTACCCTGTACAGATTATTTTAATCCTGCAATGAAAAGTGTCGAAAAAATTAATTTTGCAATGAAACGGGAAGAAAAAATAATATGAGTATGAACTGAATTTCAACAAAGTCTTTGGTAGATTATCTTTGTCATGAATATTGAAGGAGGAAGATGAAACCTAGCATTCCATAGAAGTGTGAACTAAAATTCTTGTTTAGTCTGGACTTAGTCCTGGCTTAACTTATGAGAATACCACCAATTGAATTTAAAGACAATAGGTATCATATATCTGTAAAGGGTTTTGGGAGGGCCTTCGGTCCTAATAAGCGCTATATAAGAACTAGCTATTATTATTATTATCATATTCAAGACCCAAATGATGTTGCTAATGAATTCAATAAATACTTTAACAATATTGGACCAGCTTCCAAAATAGTCAATAATAAGAATGATTTCGTTAAAAAACTTAAATGATACCGTTAACTAAACCTTATCTTTTAATCCTACAAAGATTCATGAGTTTAAAAAATATGTTTGTTCTTTAAAATGCAGTAGATTTAACGGTTTTGATGAATTAATTGTACCTTTATTAAAACAAATAATTAACTTCATAGCCTCCCCGTTATCCTATATCTTTAATTTATCTCTTTCTCAAGGGATTTTCCCCAACCCACTAAATTTGCGAAAATAATTCGGATACATAACAAATAGGATATAAACGGTTATATAATGTTGGGTAAATAGGAATAACCTTTTACAGTTATGCAACACAATTACTGATATCATGGATCATATCGTATATTAATTCGTAGATTAAAAGAATATGGAGTTAGAAGGACTATTCTTTCTTGATTTGAAGACTATCTGCACAGTACGTTATTTTCATATGTTCTTTTAAATTTAAAACATCTAATATTTCCACCGTTAAATGCAGAGTACCACACTGTATTAGGCAGGCCCATAATGATCAAATATTATATGACCTAAAAACATGAAAAATTGCTGCTATTCACTTTTGTTCAAACCGCAATCTTTATGTATACATTTTGGATACATACTGTACCATCAATATTTCGAAATATGTTTGTGTACAATAGTAATTTACGTTCTTATCATACACGACACTCATCCGACTTCCATTTAACAAACCAACATATTTTTGGCCTATTGGACACCATGGTTCAAACGTTTGAAATGGTTTACCTGAAAATATTAAACACTCTGAAATCATATTTAAAGAAACAAAACATTTATTCTGCCACAAACCTACAAAGAACATAACATCCCGGCCAATTTCATGTTGTGTGCTAATTCACAATTAATTTGTTTTCATTCAATTATCAATTACTGACTTCAATTGCCTCAGCCCATCCAAATCCTTTTGGATTGAGGCTCGTCGATGGATCCCACAAAGCTGAAGGAAGAGTGGAGGTCTTCTACGATGGATCCTGGGGAACTATCTGTGATAATGGTTGGGATCTACGAGACGCGAGGGTTGTCTGCAGAATGCTGGGGTTCAAGGGAGCCTTGGACGCACCTACATCAGCAAGGTTCGGACAGGGATCTGGGGATATACTTCTCGATCTTGTGGGCTGTGACGGAACTGAGGAGAATCTTGCGGAATGTGCAAATCTTGGGTTAGGTGTCAATTACTGCGGACATGAAGAGGATGGTGGTGCCATCTGTTACTCGGGAGGTTAGTGTCTATACGTTCAGTAAATTGATGATATGTGAACTTTTTGAATGATATAGTAAGGCAAAAGAGTGGATCTCTAATCTTTCTGGAAAAATTGATGTTCGGCTGCCCATTGAGGGCGTTTGAGTGACATTAGCGCCGGATAGACGCTGTTCTGTCGCTACGTGCTAGTTTACACAAGGTGACGAAGGTCCAGTGAATGAGTGTTCACAACTAAAAAGGGCACTATTGGTGTGATGGTTCTAATATTAAAATATATAATTTAAAGTCTTATTGTCATGATGGATACTAGCACTAAAGGTTTCCGTATCTCCTCAGGCATTGCAGTCGCTAGTTGGGATGTCTACGATGTAGGGTAAACAGATATATATTAGATGAAACGATTTTAACTCCAAAGAAAATTTGATCTAACATAATATTGATTTATTTTGAATGCACTCCCCATGATTTTTGAAAGCTAAACTGTGGCTATATTGACATAAAGTAAATTCATTTTCGTTCTAGCTCATCCCAACTCTGGGGGAGTACGGCTCGAGGGTGGATCTAACAGTTCTGAAGGCAGAGTGGAGATCATGTTTAACGGCACCTGGGGAACAGTTTGCGACGATGAATGGGGTTTGAAAGATGCAAAGGTCGTATGCAGAATGCTGGGATTTGGCGACGCCTCAGCTGCACCAGGTGCCTCCCGGTTTGGCGAGGGTTCCGGTAAAATTCATTTGTCTGTAGTTGGGTGCGATGGTACGGAAGACAATCTCGCAGAATGTGCACATCTAGGGTTCGGAACGCACAGCTGCCAGCAAGGAGAAGCGGCTGGGGTCACGTGCCTCTTAGGAGGTACAATACTTCTATTTTCTGCATATTCAATCCAGTCATCACTTTTCATCTAACGATTCATTGGGACCTGATTTATTGACAAATTCTGAACCCAATTATACATGAATCGTTTTACAATGATGCTATATATGGAAAGCTTATTTTTAAAAAGGCAATACATTTCTCATCGAAATTTATTCGTTGAATATTCGTTTACCTAACAATGAAATCAATCGTACTAAATACAATCAACCAGTTATGAATCAAAAGCGTGAAGTAAAGAATAATGATATGGCTTCAAAAAGAAATAAAATTTCTTTTCGCTCGCCTTCATACAATATTTTAAATCAAATTTGTGATCTTTTGGTGAAAGGTTGTTTTTTATGCAAATATTTATTATATAAACTAATAAATGATCGATGACACGCAATTTTACGTCTTTTTTGTTGAAAAATGAAGAAACCTCTTTTTATGTTTGATATTCATTCTAGTTCGACTTGTCGGTGGAGCCAATGAATATGAAGGAACAGTTGAGATACTACACGAAGGGTCTTGGGGAACTGTATGCGATGATTCGTGGGACCTGGACGACGCAACGGTTGTGTGTAAACAGTTAGGATTTGATGGGGCTGTAGCTGCTCTACCCGAAGCAAGATTTGGCCAAGGTACTGGTGAAGTCTTGCTCGAAGGTGTTCAGTGCAATGGGACAGAATCCAGCCTCATAGACTGCGATCATTGGATTGGAGTCCATAGGTGCGGGCACAAAGAAGATGCCGGCGTCTCATGCATGCATGTAGCTCAACAAGGTAAACATCACTTCTTTAAATATCATTATTAACCAAATTTTGACCTAGGCTGGTGTATTTACTGGTGCTCTTAATTACGCTATAACATAGAAAAGACAGACGGTTTTCACGAATTGTCTCTGCAGTCAAAAAATTCACAGCATGGAAAGGTTTTATCACAATTTGAATGTCTTAATACCAAAGTCATGTCGAAAATCATGAATTTTGATATGTATTCATGCTTTATTCTAATTCTCTACAACACTTCACTTTCACATCTTCGTGACATAATCATCTTAGCACATGCCTTTAAAAATGTGAATTGTCTAATTCTGAAATGTTTATATTTTTTATTAGATTGATGTTTCACCTCTTGGTTTTGAAATGATATTTATCTTTTTTCTTTTCAAAGATTTGACTGATTTTATCACTTCTGATGTTACAAAACTTCCTACTGACTATCTAATGTCAGCTACTAACGATCTGATGCCAGCTGCTGACGACACTACAGAAGTATCGTCAAGTATGCAGAACATTTCCCTTAATCAGATAAACCCGACTAATATTGAAGATGTGAACTTGAATACAACACCAAGTGTTATGCCAAATCTTCCAAAGATGTTCCTAATTGGGCTTTGCATTTTATTCTTCACTATCATTCTGATATTGTCTTGCTGGTGCAGTATTCAAAGAATTAGAAAAACGTATAGCAGAAGGGCTGAGGACGATGTAAACGCCGATATTTATATGGATGTGGCGGATATTGGCTCAATGCAAGCTCTTTCGCTAAACCCAGCTTATCAAGGCCTGAACGCTCCACCTCGGTTACCGAATAGACAAAAAACCAGTCTACTTCATCATAATTATGAATCAAATATAGCAACGGATGGTGACGGAAAATTCGATTTGAGTCTCCCGCAATACATCAAAAAAGGAGAACCACATGAATACATGGATATGACGCCCGTCTATGAAACACCCGACAAGGAAAATGAGTGCTATCTCGATGGATATATCCTTCCGACCAAGGATGCATTATTGGATGATGAAAAGGCACTAAAGGTTGATCCAGTTCGCAACGATAAATCGAATAAGCACGAGTACATCGATATGAAAACTGTTTACCAAACGCCCTCAGCGGGGAATGATGTAGACCTTGATGGATATATTCTCCCGTGTGAGGACGGCCCCCACATCGACCCGAGCGCAAACGGTGAATAAACTAATAACCAGGGCCAAATTGATAAAAAGGCGCCTTAAACAACTGTTGACATTTCGAGTTTAAAGGCCCACTGCACTACTTGTAGCTACTTGCGCCCTCTATATAACAAACAATGCCTAATCGGTGACCATTGGTCCCCCATGATTCTCTTTTTCTTATGTTAACTGAGCGCTGAGCTGATGAGATAACCACCTGTCCAGTGACCTTGCAGGGCGGTCTAATCCCTCCTGTAAACTGGTACAGATAAGCTTTAAATTAAAGACCAGAGGCTGCCTTGAAACGACACATGGCACAGGGCGAAACCATGAATATATGGACATGAACACTGTAGGTAAAATATGTGACACTTATGAGTTGTTGCTAATGCATTTATCTGTAATGCACTTATCCTTAATGTGTTATGATGTACATAAATGTGATGAAACAAAAGCCTATCGAATGAGAACCGTATTTTAATTATATAAAATCACGACGGTCAAAACTAGTTTTCCTCTCCAGTACGACGAAAACTGAACGTAATGTCATATCTAATTATGGATGGAGGTCATAGTTTCTGCAAGTAAAATATAATTCCTCTAGAGTTCAATACGGTTTTAATGACAATTAATGCGGATTCTATTACCGTTCACACGTAACTTTTTAAAAATCATGTTTAAAGTCAATGGACATGTACAATGATTAGATTCATATTCAAACCAATGATCGAAACGAAGTTGTAGATCAAAAACTGTCTGACAAATATAGGTTTTCTCTTCAATGCGTAATATTATTCAAGACCATATACATGGCAGTAATACGGACTAACATGTAAATGTCAGGTTTAACGACAATAATTACGTTATCAGTGTTAATTGAATTAAACAACATGAATTTATATATTATGTAATTTTTCCTCTTCATGACACAAGAAATAATCGTATCCGAAAGATGGTAATTGACAAATGAAATTGCTCGACCAAATAAGAGCACAAGTTAGACATTATAAGCACTGTACACAAATGGAAACAAATAGAATCTATGAATCATATTGCTTTCCTTCGATGGTTATAGATGTGTTATAGCAAATTAATTTGACATTGACTGTAATCTATCGTCACTTTAGGCATAATTCATTATGTAAAAAAAGCATGTACACAGATGAATCATAATCATATGTAAGTCCCTTCTTCACATCTAAATAAACTATTTTCACAATACTTGTATTTATCCTAACGATAATGAAAGGGATGACAAGTCAGGTTTAACATTTTAGCTAAATATACCTATCATACTTTCAAATTAACAGTTCTCGCTCCTCAGCACTTTGTTTCTTCCTTTTGTATGTTGTATTTGTAAGTGAGTATCCTATTGGCTACGGAGGTGTCACGTGACACTCGATATATTCTAATAACGTCCACGACTATGCAATATAACAACCTTTAAACACGATATAACGCATACAAAGGATAACCATCTGCACACCTCTTTTCCCTGCTACCCTCATGTACTCGATTGTTTGAGCGGCGCATGGACTCCCTCAGTTTTTTCCTTTTAACCATACGATCTCACGAGAAAAAACACCTTATTAAACAATAAGGTTGTATAATTAAATATCGGCGATTTAATATGAATAATCAACACAAATAATCAAGGTACACATAATGGTTTGGGCACACAAACAATGCACTCGATATACAAATGTCAAAGGGAGCGGACGACTCTCCTAGACGTCGATACACAACACATAAATAACAGCGATCACTGGATAAAACGGGAGTAATTAATTTCCTTTATATTACACAAAATAAGTACAACATAAACGGGATCGTCAAAAGGGAATACGAAACTCATATCGATGTTTATCACCGTCACGATCAAAAGAATACAAAAAATATACAAGTATACAACAATAATCAATCATCAAAATGCGAATACAAAAAGGATTATCAAATAATTCAGCAAAGCGTTAAAAAAATAGCTCAAACCAACTCAGCATCCACGTCGAGGTCAGGATTGATGATGCTAACGATGGCGATGATGGTGATGGTGATGATGATGATGATGAGGGCAATGACGACGATGACGACGACAATGTCGGTAGCGATGATGATGACGGCAAATTTGTTCACGTGGGCGATGAATCAGTCATGACGATGGAGATGTCAATGATATGATGAGGATGATAGCACAACACAACGGATGACGACGATCAAAAAGGCAGATGTAAGTTAGATGTGAAAATACGATAAGATGACGATTTAAAAAAATAGTCAATCGCTGTGGGATAAAGAGTTGTCTGTGAATTTGTCAAATCAATAATGCAGAATGAGAAAACAAATAAATACCCTATTCTTACTGCACGGAGTCAGGCAAAATGGCGATATCACATCTATAAGGACGAAGGAAAAAGTAGTCGATAAATGAATCTCGCGAAATTTCGGGAATCGGTCGAGTCCTTGTTAGATAAAAATTTCATGTTCTGTGCTAGTTCACAATCAATTGGTTTTCATTAAATTATCAATAACTGACCTTTATTGCCTCAGCCCATCCAAATCCGTTTGGAATAAGGCTCGTCGATGAATCCAGCAAAGCTGAAGGCAGAGTGGAGGTCTTCTACGATGGATCCTGGGGAACTATCTGTGATAATGGTTGGGATCTACGAGACGCGAGGGTTGTCTGCAGAATGCTGGGGTTCAAGGGAGCCTTGGACGCACCTACATCGGCAAGGTTCGGACAGGGATCTGGGGAAATACTTCTCGATCTTGTCGGCTGTGACGGAACTGAGGAGTATCTAGCGGAATGTGCAAATCTTGGGTTAGGTGTCAATTACTGCGGACATGAAGAGGATGGTGGTGCCATCTGTTACTCGGGAGGTTAGTGTTAATACTTTCAGTAAATTGATGATATGTGAACTTTTGGAATGATATAGTAAGGAAAAAGAGTGGATCTCTAATCTTTCTGGAAAAATTGATGTTCGGCTGCCAATTGAGGGCGTTTAAGTGACATTAGCGCCGGATAGACGCTGTTCTGTCGCTAGTTTACACAAGGTGACGAAGGTCCAGTGAATGAGTGTTCACAATTAAAAAGGGCACTATTATTGCGATGGTTCTAATATTAAAATATATATAATTTAAAGTCTTATTGGCATGATGGATACTAGCACTAAAGGTTTCCGTATCTCCTCCGGCATGGCAGTCGCTAGTTGGGATGTCTACGATGTAGGGTAAACAGATATATATTAGATGAAACGATTTTAACCCCAACGAAAATTAAATCTAACATAATGTTGATTTATTTTGAATGCACTCCCCATGATTTTTGAACAGCTAAACTGTGGCTATACTGACATAAAGTAAATTCATTTTCGTTCTAGCTCATCCCAACTCTGAGGGGGTACGGCTCGAGGGTGGATCTAACAGTTCTGAAGGCAGAGTGGAGATCATGTTTAACGGCACCTGGGGAACAGTTTGCGACGATGGCTGGGATTTGAAAGATGCAAAGGTCGTATGCAGAATGCTGGGATTTGGCGACGCCGCAGCTACACCAGGTGCAGCCCGGTTTGGCGAGGGTTCCGGCAAAATTCATTTGTCTGTAGTCGGTTGCGATGGGACGGAAGACAATCTCGCAGAATGCGCACATCTAGGTTTCGGAGTGCACAACTGCCAACATGGCGAAGACGCTGGGGTCACGTGCCTCTTAGGAGGTACACATTTCTATTTTCTGCACATTGCTTCCAGTCATCACTTTTCGTCTAATGATTCATTGTGACCTGAAACATTGACACATTCTGAACCCAATTATACTTGAACCGTTCACAATGACGCTATATATGGAAAGCTTATTTTTAAAAAGGCAATACATTTTTCATCGAAATTCATTCATTGAATATTCTCATACCGAACAATGTAATCAATCGTACGAAATAAAATTAACCATTTACGAATCAAAGGTGATAAATAGAGGATAATGATATTACTTCAAAAAGTTACCAACTTTATTTTCGCTCGCTCACACGCAGTATTCCAAATCAAATTCGTGATCCTTTGGTAAAAGATTGATTTTTTAATGCGAATACTTGATTGTATAAAGTAATAACTTTACGAGGATTCGCAGTTTCACGTCGTTTTTTTCTTGAAAAGATGAAGAAACCTCTTTTTTGTCTTTGATTTCGATCTAGTTCGACTTGTCGGTGGAGCCAATACATATCAAGGAACAGTTGAGATACTACACGAAGGGTCTTGGGGAACTGTATGCGATGATTCGTGGGACTTAGACGACGCTAAGGTTGTGTGTAGACAGTTAGGATTTGATGGGGCTTTAGCTGCTCTACACGAAGCAAGATTTGGCCAAGGTACTGGTGAAGTCTTGCTCGAAGGTGTTCAGTGCAATGGGACAGAAGCCAGCCTCATAGACTGCAATCATAAAGGGATAAGAGAACGTAATTGCGGGCACAAAGAAGATGCCGGCGTCTCATGCATGCATGCAGCTCATCAAGGTAAACACCACTACTGCACATAGCATTATTAACAACATTTTGACCAAGGCTGGTGCATCTTAATATAACTACATCATAGAAAAGAAAAACAGCTTTCACGAATTGTCTCTTCCGTCAAATGATTCACAGCAAGGACAGGTTTTATCAAAACTTGAAATCTCTTAAAGGGATCGTTTAACAATGTTAAAATCTAGTTACACGGTCCTACGCGTTATCAATGTCTGTCATATGGTGTAATATTGAAGCCCCCAAAAATTGCGCTTCAAAATGATCAAGAAGTGCCTCAAAAAAGTAAAAATCTTTGAGTGACCGGTTTTACCATACTCGTTTTCCCCGATAGACTGTAGTGTTATGAAAACCGTTTGGCAAACGGTTTTCAAAATTTGTAATTAAAAAAAAAAAAATATCTTGATAATCAGACAGGCGATCGGCTTGTAAAAGTCATGGAGTTCCTGACTGACCTAAAGGTTAATAATTATCATTGCAGCATGAGCTAAATCCAGAATTTTGTTTCAGAATCTGAGACAAAGTTACCGGATCTATTTAATAAAATGACTTACCAAAGTCATGTCAAAACTTATGAATTTGTTATGTATTCATGCTTTATTCTAATTCTCTACAAAACTTTCACTTTCATATCTTCGTAAGATAATCATCCTAGCGCATGCCTTTAGGTAGGTTCCGTAGATATTCTTAAAAATGTAAATCGTATTAATCTGAAATGTTTATATTTTTATTAGATTGATGTTTCACCTCTTAATTTTGAAATTATATTTATCTTTTTTCTCTTCAAAGATTTTACTGGAAATCCCGATCCTGTCACTTCTGATGTTACAAAACTTCCTACCGGCTATCGGATGTCAGCTACTGATGTTCTGATGCCAGCTGCTGACGCCACTACAGTAGTATCGTCAAGTACGCAGAACATTTCCCTTAATGAGAAAAACCCGACTAATATTGAAGATCTGAACTTGACTACAGGACCAAGTGTGATGCCAAATCTTCCAAAGATGTTTCTAATTGGGCTTTGCGTTTTATTCTTTACTATCATTCTGATATTGTCTTGCTGGTGCTTCATTCAAAGAATTAGAAGGATTTATATTAAAAGGGCTGAGGACGATGTAAACGCCGACATTTATATGGATGTGGCGGATATTGGCTCAATGCAAGCTCTTTCGCTAAACCCAGCTTATCAAGGCCTGAACGCTCCACCTCGGTTACCGAATAGACAAAAAACCAGTCTGCTTCATCATGATTATGAATCAAATATAGCAACGGATGGTGACGGAAAATTCGATTTGAATCTCCCGCGATACATCAAGAAAGGAGAACCACACGAATACATGGACATGACACCCGTTTATGAAACACCCGACAATGAAAATGAGTGCTATCTCGATGGATATATCCTTCCGACCAAGGATGCATTATTGGATGATGGAACGGCACTAAAGGTTGATTCAGTTCGCAACGATAAATCGAATAAACATGAGTACATCGACATGAAAACTGTTTACCAAACGCCTTCAGCGGGAAACGATGTAGACCTCGATGAATATGTTCTCCCGTGTGAGGACAGCTCCCACACCGACCCGAGCGCAAACGGTGAAAAAACCAATAACCAGGGATAAATTGATAAAAAGGCGCCTTAAACAACTGTTGACATTTCGAGTTTAAATTAAGGACTAGATGCTGCCTTGAAACGACTCATGGCACGGGGTGAAACCATGAATATATGGACATTAATACTGTAGGTAAAATATACATAACATAATAATGTATTATGTATTATTATTATTATAATAATCTAAAAGAATGTGACACTTATGAGTTGTTGCTAATGCACTTATTTGTAATGCACTTATCCGTAATGTGTTATGATGTACATAAATGTGATGAAACAAAAGGCTATCGAATGAGAGCCGTATTTTAATGATATCAAATCACGACGGTCAAAACTATTTCTCCTCTCCTGTACGACGAAAACTGAAAGTAATGTCATATTTAATTATAGATTGAGGTCATAGGTTCTGCAAGTAAGATGTAATTCCTCTTAAGTTTAATACGGTCTTAATGACAATTAATGCGGATTCTATAACCGTTCACACGCAACTTTTTTAAAAGTCATATTTAAAGTCAATGGACATGTACAATGATTAGATTCATATTCAAACCAATGATCGAAACGAAGTTGTAGATCAAAAACTGTCTGACAAATATAGGTTTTCTTTCCACTGCGTAATATTATTCCAGACCAAATTACGGACTTACATTTAACTTACATACAATTTTATTATCATGTATTATGTAATTGTTCCTCTTTATGATACGAGAAATAATCGTATACGGAAGATGGCATTTGACAAATGTATTTGCTCGACCAAGTAAGAGCACAAGTTAAACATTATAAGCACTGTACAAAAATGGAAACAAATGGAATCTATAAATCATATTGCTTTCCTTCAATGGTTATAGTGTATTATAGCAAATTACTTAAATATTAACTGTACTCTCTTGACTCTATCATCACGTTAGATTGTAAATTTTTTGCCTAATTCACTTTGAAAAAAAAAGATGTACACAGATGTGAATTCTTCCTATTCATCTGAATGATCTATTTTCTCACTACTTGTATGTATCCTAACAATAATGAAAGGGATAACAAGTCAGGTTTTACATCGCAGCTAAATATAATTAGCTTGCTTTCAAAATAACAGTTCTAGCTCCTCAGCACTTTGTTTCTTCCTTTTGTTTGTTGTATTTGTTAGTGAGTATCCTATTGGCTACAAAGGTATCACGTGACGCTCGATAAATTGTTTTAACGTCCACGACTATGCAATATAACAACCTTTTTAACACGATATAACGCATACGAAGGATAATTATCTGCGCACCTCATGCGCACCTGCTGCCCTCATGTACTTGATTGTTTGAGCAGCGCGCATAGACTCCATCGGTTTTTTCCCCTTTAACTTTACGATCACGAGAAAAAATACACCATAAAACAGATAATCAAGGTACACATAATCGTTTGAGCACACAAACAATACACTCGATATACAAATGTCAAAGGGAGCGGACGACTCTCCTAGTCGTCGATACACAACACATAAATAACAACGATCACTGGATAAAGCGGGAGCGATTAATCACCTGTATATTACACAAAATAAGTACAATAATAAATTATATCGTCAAAAGGGAGTACGAGACTCACTTCGATGTTAATCACCATCACGATCAAAAGAATACAAAAATATACAACAATAATCAATCATCAAAATGCGAATACAAAAAGGATTACCAAATAATTCAGCAAAGCGTTAAAAAAATAGCTCAAACAAACTCAGCATCCACGTCAAAGTCAGGATTGATGATGCTAACGATGGCGATGATGATGATGATGATGATGATGAGGGCGATGACGACGATGACGACGACAATGTCGGTAGCGATGATGATGATGGCAAAGTTGTTCACGATGACGATGACGATGGAGATGACAATCATGTGATGACGATGATAGCACAACACAACGGATGACGACGATTGAAAAGGCAAATGTGAGTTAGATGCAAAAATACGACAAGATGACGATTTAACAAAATAGTCAACCGCTGTGGGATAAAAAGTTGTCTGTGAATTTGTCAAATCAATAATGCAGAATGAGAAAACAAATAAATACTCTATTCTTACTGCACGGAGTAAAACAAAATGGCGATATCACATCAATAAAGACGAAGGAAAAAGGAGTCGATAAATAAATCTCGCGAAATCTCGCGAATCGTTCGAGTCCTAGTTGGATAAAAATGAAACCGGCACGATATACAAACACAGCCGATGCAAAAGAATCCCTCTGATTTTCACATGATAAATCACGTTGTTACTGATGCAAAAATAATATACAATTTAAGCAACAGTTAAAAATCGTGACATTTGGTCACTACAACAAGGAGCAAGGCAGAAGGTCGCAAATACCCTCTTTTTTTTTCATAAAATACATATTGCATGCATTGCGTTGTTATATTCACCTCCAAATTTAGAATGTCCCTCGAGCCATTACATCTTAACCGAGGACATAGGCCTTGGTTAAATATTACGTCACTCAGGAAATTCTGAAGTTATCGGCTCACATATAGTGTATTATACTTGAACGTCGGAGCATGCAACATATGCAGGAGCGTGCAACATAACCATTTTCTTTTGCACTGTAAAACGCGGCCTCAAGTTAATTCGACTGTGAACCTCTCTGCCCTGCGCGTTTCATGGTTTGTGTCTTAGCTTGGCGCATGTAATCGAGAGGGCCTAATTCCAACGGATTACAAACGAACCCTGAATTTATATTACATACATTGCATGCATTTCGCTGTTCCCTATAAACATGAATTCATCTACAAATTCTGAATTTCCCTCGTGCCATGATATTACAACTTTCGCCTCGGTGAATACATGGTTCATATATTGGGTTATTTTGAACGACAAAATATGCAATATTGTAAAATATAAACATATTAGTTATTCCCGGGAATTCATGGGCAGCAAGTGCAGATGAGAAATACATTTTGAAATATCAAACTCGACGCTACCTTATTTTGTTGTAATAAAATATTGCATCAGGCGGAAAAGCTGCGAGCTAACTTGAGAGAAATCGAAAGAGCATGAGGGGGAAATAGATGAGAAGGAGGGGATAGGGGATCATCTTACAAACAATTGTATGCTAGAAATCGCATTTCAGAAGAAAAATGTACTAACATTTTCAACATGACGGCCCCAGAATATGAATTCCCCTGTACACGTGAAATAATCACCAAATTAGGCAAGTCGCCACCATAGGCCATCGATATCAAATCCACATTCGTTCACAAGCATGAGTACAGATGGGATAGGAATACATTTCCGTTTCCGCTGCACTTCCTGTGCGATGGCTTTCCTTCGTTCATGCTGCTGCGTTTATCGAAGACGCGATTTCCGGAGTCGGGATTACCGACAACTACAGACAGTCACAAAGTCGTCGCTTTTTTTAAAACCTCAAAAGAGCATATCTCGAAATATGAGAACCCTGTGAGGCAGAGCTCGTGGCCGGTCCCAGCCGTTTCTCACAAAAACAGTATTGAAGAGGCGGCAAGAAAAAGTATAACTGCGTAATACACCCCCCAAAAAAAACTCACGCCACTATCATATATACTAATGTGTATATATAAAGAAGAAGCATGAAAGGAAAAAATAAAGTTTCCCCCTAAAATACAGATGTAATACTGAAGAAAAAAATATGTACACAAACACATTCTTAAACTGAGTTCTGTGCAGTTCAGTTTGTTTATTCATTTCATGTTCATAAAAAACACAGCAAAAGCAAATAAACATAGAAGTATATATATACTAAGGCAGAGAATGTTCAGTTTATACAATAACTTCAAATGAAATAGGAGAACAAAGGAAAAGCCTAGGGTGGCCTTATTTTTAAAAGTTCCCCTGAATATTATACATTTTATTATTGAGTATATATGTATATTCGTTTCAAATATCACAAAAGACAGCGATAAACACAATATAAGGACAAACCATTACAAGAAAATATGTGGAGTAAAGTGAAATTGGAGGTGGTAAAAAGATTGGAAGGTAAATTCACCGGTACTCAGAATACAAAGTCAGTTTCATTTGTTTTTTAAACATTGAACTATTTGAGCGTAGGAGGGATATTTCCTATTGCCTGGCACAATGTAAACTATTTAAAATTAATAATTTATAAGATTCACAATATGTATTCATTTCTTATGATACTTATGGTACAAAAGAGCTACGTTAGACTTTTACATTGAACCATATCCAACAATAGTTACGCTATGAAAAACGACAGCGAGGTTATTTTAAAATGACCAAAAAAAAAAAAAACCTGAGAATAATTTTGGCCAGAAACTCATTGTATTACATTACAATGAGCGGTTTCAATTATACGGTAGAAGACAGAACCTGTGTGTTTTTATATAAGCCCAAACATCTAGCATCATATACTCATCTTGGTCGTGCATGGAAACCTCTACCGATGGCTCTCTACCCAATGGTAGGTAGGATCTGAGAGACGCGAGGGTGGTTTGTAGAATGCTGGGGTTTGATGGAGCCTTGGACGCACCGAGATCTGCTAGGTTTGGTCAGGGCTCTGGCCGCATTCTTCTGAACTTTGTCAACTGTGATGGAACTGAAGTAAACGTAGTAGAATGTATTCAACGACATATTGGAGACTACAATTTCTGCGTCATTTATTATTTGTTTGAATACCTGCAAAGAACATATAACTGCTTTGTCCCAATTCATGTTATGTGCTAACTCACAATCAAATGGTTTGATTATATTATCAATTGGTTTTGATGCAATTACCATTTACTGACTTTCATTGCCTCAGCCCATCCAAATCCTATTGGAATGAGGCTCATCGATGGATCCAGCAAAGCTGAAGGCAGAGTGGAGGTCTTCTACGATGGATCCTGGGGAACTATCTGTGATAATGGTTGGGATCTACGAGACGCGAGGGTTGTCTGCAGAATGCTGGGGTTCAAGGGAGCCTTGGACGCACCTACATCGGCAAGGTTCGGTCAGGGATCTGAGGATATACTTCTCGATCTTGTCGGCTGTGATGGAACTGAGGGGAATCTAGCGGAATGTGCAATCTTGAGTTAGGTGTCAATTACTGCGGACATGAAGAGGATGGTGGTGCCATCTGTTACTCGGGAGGTTAGTGTCTATACTTTCAGTAAAATAATTATACGTGAACCGCTTTGTATGATAAAGTTAGGCACAATAGTTGATTGCTAATCATTCAAGAAAGACTGTTGTTCGGCTGTTTTAAGGCGGTCCCAAGACATGCCAATTGAGGGCGTTTGATGAATGACATTCGCGTCGGATAGACATTGTTCCGTCGTTACGTTCTAGTTTTCCCTATGTGAAGAAGGTGCCATTAATGGGTGGTCACAATACAAAAGAGCTCTATTGGTTTGATGGTCCTGTATCTTAAATATTTGTTTTTCAGTCTAATTGGTGGGTAAACAGAAATATAGTATACATGATAAGATTTTTACCCCAAAATAAATGCACTCCCCATGATTTAACGAACAACTTAACGAAAACATGATGGGGAGCGACTATTGCGGCTATACTAAAAGAAAGTAAATTCCTTTTCGTTCTAGCTTATCCAAACTCTGTTGGAGTACGGCTCGTGGGTGGATCTAACAGTTCTGAAGGCAGAGTGGAGATCATGTATAACGGCACCTGGGGAACGGTCTGCGGCGATGGCTGGGATTTGAAAGATGCAAAGGTCGTATGCAGAATGCTGGGATTTGGCGACGCCTCAGCTGCACCAGGTTCAGCCAAGTTTGGCGAGGGGTCCGATGAAATCCTTCTGTCTCTTGTCGGGTGCGATGGGACGGAAAACAACCTCGCAGAATGCGCACATCTAGGGTTCGGAGTGCACAACTGCCATCATGGAGAAGACGCTGGGGTCACGTGCCTCTTAGGAGGTACAATACTTCTATTTTCTACATCCAGTCATCACTTTTCATCTTACCATTCATTGGTACCTGAACCATTGACACATTCTGAACCCAATTATAAATGAATCGCTTATAATGACGTTGTAAATGGATAGATTAATATCAAGAAGGCAATACATTTTTCATCGAAATTCATTCGTTGAATATTCGTTTACCTAACAATGAAATCAATGGTACTAAATGAAATTAACCAGTTACGAATCATAGGCGAGAAATAGAGGATAATAATATGACTTCAAAAAGTTATCAAATTTCTTTTCGCTCGCTTACATACAATATTTAAAATCAAATTCGTGAGCCTTTGGTAAAAGATTGTTTTTTATGCAAAAATGTATTGTATAAACTAATAATTGATTGATGACACACAATTTTACGTCTTTTTTGTTGCAAAATGAAGAAACCTCTTTTTGTTTTTGTTTTTCAATCTAGTTCGACTTGTCGGTGGAGCCAATAAATATGAAGGAACAGTTGAGATACTACACGAAGGGTCTTGGGGGACTGTATGCGACGATTTATGGGACATAGACGACGCTAAGGTTGTGTGTCGACAGTTAGGATTTGATGGGGCTTTAGCTGCTCTACCCACAGCAAGATTTGGCCAAGGTTCTGGTGAAGTCTTGCTCGAAGGTGTTCAGTGCAATGGGACAGAAGCCAGCCTCATAGACTGCAATCATAAAGGGATAAGAGAACATAATTGCGGGCACAAAGAAGATGCCGGCGTCTCATGCATGCGTGTTGCTCGTGAAGGTAAAGATCACTTCTGCACATATAGCAGTATAACAATATTTTGACCTGGCTGGTGTATCTACTGGGTGCTCTTGAATACACTACATAATACAAAAGAGTCTTTAAAAAGACAAACAGCTTACACGAATTGTCTCTGTAGTCAGACAATTCACAACATGGACAAATATTCAGGCCCTATACGTGAAAACCTTTACACCTTTATCAAAATATGAATCCTTTGTCATAAAATGACATAACAGAATCATATCAACAATTATTAATATTGTTTTGTATTCGTGCTTCGTTCCAACTCTCTACAAAACTTTGACTTTCATATATTTATAACATGACCATTCTAGTCAATACTTTGACCTAGTTTCCGTACATATTTTGAAAATGTAAATTGTCTAATTCTGGAATGTTTATATTTTGTATTAGATTGATGTTTCACCTCTTGGTTTTGAAATTATATTTATCTTTTTTCTCTTCAAAGATATTACTGGAAGTTACGATCCTGTCACTTCTGATGTTACAAAACTTCCTACCAGCTATCGGATGTCAGCTACTGATGTTCTGATGCCAGCTGCTGACGCCACTACAGTAGTATCGTCAAGTACGCAGAACATTTCCCTTAATGAGATAAACCCGACAAAATTTGAAGATCTGAACTTGACTACAGGACCAAGTGTGATGCCAAATCTTCCAAAGATGTTTCTAATTGGGCTTTGCGTTTTATTCTTTACTATCATTTTGATATTGTCTTGCTGGTGCTTTATTCAAAGAATTAGAAGGATTTATAGTAGAAGGGCTGAGAACGATGTAAACGCCGACATTTATATGGATGTGGCGGATATTGGCTCAATGCAAGCTCTTTCGCTAAACCCAGCTTATCAAGGCCTGAACGCTCCACCTCGGTTACCGAATAGACAAAAAACCAGTCTGCTTCATCATGATTATGAATCAAATATAGCAACGGATGGTGACGGAAAATTCGATTTGAATCTCTCGCAATACATGAAAAAGGGCGAACCACATGAATACATGGACATGAATACCGTTTATGAAACACCCGACAATGAAAATGATTATCTCGATGGATATATCATTCCGACCAAGGATGCATTATTGGATGATGAAACGGCACTAAAGGTTGATCCAGTTCGCAACGATAAATCGAATAAACATGAGTACATCGATATGAAAACTGTTTACCAAACGCCCTCAGCGGGGAACGATGTAGACCTCGATGAATATGTTCTCCCATGTGAGGACAGCTCCCACCCCGACCCGAGCGCAAACGGTGAAAAAACCAATAACCAGGGATAAATTGATAAAAAGGCGCCTGAAACAACTGTTGACATTTCGAGTTTAAATTAAGGACTAGAGGCTGCCTTGAAACGAATCATGGCACGGGGTGAAACCATGAATATATGGACATGAACACTGTAGGTAAAATAAACATAACATAATAATGTATTATGTATTATTATTATTATAATAATCTAAAAGAATGTGACACTTATGAGTTGTTGCTAATGCACTTATTTGTAATGCACTTATCCGTAATGTGTTATGATGTACATAAATGTGATGAAACAAAAGCCTTTCAAATGAGAGCCGTATTTTAATGATATCATATCACAACGGTCATAAAGATTTTTCCTCTGTAGTACAACGAAAACTGAAAGTAATGTCATATTTAATTATAGATGGAGGTCATAGGTTCTGCAAGTAAAATATAATTCCTCTTGAGTTCAATACGGGCCTTCATGACAGTTAATGCGGATTTTATTACCGTTCACACGCAACTTTTTTAAAATCATGTTTAAAGTCAATGGACATGTACAATGATTAGATTCATATTCAAACCAATGATCGAAACGAAGTTATAGATCAAAAACTTTCTGACAAATATAGTTTTTTTCTCCACTGCGTAATATTATTCCAGACCAAATTCCGGACTTACATTTAACTTACATACAATTTAATTATCATGTATTATGCAATTTTTTCTCTTTATGATACAAGAAATAATCGTATACGAAAGATGGTAACTGACAAATGTATTTGCTCGACCAAGTAAGAGCACAAGTTAAACATTATAAGCACTGTACAAACATGGAAACAAATGGAATCTATAAATCATATTGCTTTCCTTCAATGGTTATAGACGTGTTATAGCAAATTACTTAAATATTAACTGTACTCTCTTGACTCTATCATCACGTTAGATTGTAAATTTTTTGCCTACTTCACTTTGAAAAAAAAAGATGTACACAGATGTGAATTCCTCCTATTCATCTTAATGATCTATTTTCTCACTACTTGTATGTATCCTAACAATAATGAAAGGGATAACAAGTCAGGTTTTACATCGCAGCTAAATATAATTAGCTTGCTTTCAAAATAACAGTTCTTGCTCCTCATCACTTTGTTTCTTCCTTCTGTTTGTTGTATTTGTTAGTGAGTATCCTATTTGGCTACAAAGGTGTCACGTGACACTCACTATATTGTTATAATGTCCACGACTATGCAATGTAACAACCTTTTTAAACACGATATAACGCATACAAAGGATAATCATCTGTGCACCTCTTTCTCCTGCTGCCCTCATGTACTCGATTGTTTGAGCAGCGCGCATAGACTCCTTCATGTTCCCCCTTTAACTTTACGATCTCACGAGAAAAACCACACCATCAGACAAAAAGGCTGTAAAATTCAATATCGGCGATTTAGTACGAATAATCAACACAAATAATCAAGGTACACACAATCATTTGGGCACACAAACATTACACTCGATATACAAATGTCAAAGGGAGCGAGCGACTCTTCTAGACGTCAATACACATCACATGAATAACAGCGATCACTGGATAAAACGGGAGTAATTAATCCCCTGTATATTACCAATAATAAGTGCAACAATAAACGAGATTGTCAAAAGAAGGTACGAAGGTGCAATATTGTATAATATATAAGTATTAGTGAGTCCCGGAGAAAACCACGGTCAGCAAATGCAGGTGAGAAATACATTTTGAAATATCAAACTCGACGCTACCTTATTTTGTTGTAATAAAATATTGCATCAGGCAGAAAAGCTGCGAGCTAACTTGAGAGAAATCGAAAGAGCATGAGAGGGGAAATAGATGAGAAGAAGGGGATAGGGGGATGAGACCATCTTACAAACAATTGACGATTGAATTGTATGCTAGAAATTGCATTTCAGAAGAAAAATGTATTAACATTTTCAACATGACGGTCCCAGGCTCCTTAACCCTATATTTTATATATTTTATGGAATATGCTGCCTCTACTGTTCACGTGAAATATTCACCTAATTAGGCAAGTCGCAAACCAACATAGGCAATCGATATCAATCCACATTCGTTCACAAGCGTGAGTACAGATGGGATAGGAATATACTACCGTTTCTGCCGCCCTTATTGTGCGATGGCTTTGTCGGGGTTACCAAAAACTACAGAAAGTCACAAAATCGTCGCTTTTTTCAAACCCTCACAGAGCATTTTTCGAAGTATAACAACCTTGTGAAGCACTGATCATGGCCGTTTCTCATCAAACAGGTTTCAACAGGCGGCAAGAAAAAGTATAACTTCGTTATACACCCAAAAAGTAATCTCACGCCACTATCATGTATGCGAATACGTATATATATATATATATATATATATATATATATATATATGTATATTTCAAAGAGGAAGCATGTAAGGGAAAAACTGTTTCCCCCTAAAATATAGATGTAATACTGAAGAGGAAAATATGTACATAAACACATTCTTAACCTGAGTTCAGTTCAGTTCAGTTTGTTTATTCATTTCATGTTCATAACAAGACAGAGAATGTTCCGTTTATACAATAACTTCAAATGAAATAGGAAAATAAGAGGAAAAGCCTATGGTGGCCCTTTTAAAAAGAGTTCCCCTGAATATTATACAAATATACACTGCCTTGAGAGGTTCTGGTTAAAACTATGCGCAAGAGGTGACTCCAATAATACTATTTGCTGAGGGGCGCAGCCCCGAAGCAAATGGTACTTTTGGAGTCACCGAGGCCCATAGTTTAACCAGTACCTCGAATAGAAGGCATGGTGTATTTGTTTTATATCCTGCATCACAAATTTATTTAAAAAAAAAAAAAAAAAACTTTTTTGGGAAAACAAAATTTAGAACAAAAAAAATGTCAATTTTGATCTAAAAAGATTTAAAAATATTGTGTTTTCATGAAATTAAGATTTGAAAAAAAAAAAATTCACATTTTTTTTTCAACTCCAAAATAATAAACCAAAATAGGACTCTCATATAGTCATGTGACAAGCTCTCAACCAATCAAAAGCCAACAACATTTTGATGCAGGATATAATATATATTATATTACTGAGTATATATTAGTTTCCAGTATCACAAAAGACAGCGATAAACACAATATAAAAACAAACAATTACAAGAAAATGTGTGAAATAAAGTAAAATTGGAGGGGTAAAAAGGTTAGGAAGGTGAATTTAACGGTACTCAGAACAGTTTCATTTGTTTTTTAAACATTAAAGTATTTGAGAGTAGGAGGGATATCCCCTGTTGTTTGGCATAATCCAAACTATTTAAAATGAATAATTTATTGGATTCACAACCTGTTTTCATTTCTTGTGATGCTACAAAAGAGCTACATTAGATTTTTATGTTGAACCATATGCAACAATAGTTACGTTATGAAAAACAACAGCGAGGTTATTTCAAAATGACAAAAGAAAAAAGCAACTGAGAATAATTTTGGCCTGGAACTCATTATTTTACATTATAATGGACGGTTTCAATGAAACGGTAGAAGACAGAACCTGTGGGATTTTATATATGCCCATACATCTAGCATCATATACTCGTCTTGGTCGTGCATGGAAACCTCTACCAATGGCCCTCTACCAGATGTGTACAAGAAACCTCATCTTGGTGATTGTAGCTGGATGGGATGATCCTATTTACACTTTTGTCCATACGTCCCGCGTGTTGTAGGAAATTCGGGAGCTTATTACAAATGGCCAAGTCTATATTATCCATGTATTCCAGTGATTGGATGTAGTATTTCCTCTACCAAGCACACTAAAAACACAAAAGAGAACAATTCATAAGCAGTTTCTAGCAGAAACAGAAATGTTGGAGAAGCGTATTAAAACAGCAGCATTTTTCGAGAAATTGGACTCCACGCCCTAGAATAAAGAAATCAGGTAAGATAAAAACTGATTTCTATAATTATGTTTTGTAACTGGGATCACTATTGTTCATAATTTTTGGAATCTCCTAATTTGCAATGTCGTCATTTTTGTCTCAAAAAAAGAACTCTCCCATTTAGGTGGTAAAGAAATATTCAGAATTTTCTATGCCATGTTTTGAATTAATAATATTGTGTATACAATATAGTTTGAACATGTTTTCCCGTACAAAATGGCTGTGCCGCTGTTCCCATATGAGAAATAGGTAATGGTCATTTTGGTGGATGTAGGTCTTAAGGAATTCGATAGTTCTCCATGATGCATAGTCTATTGACAGGGCATTGCGTGTGAAAAAGAGGAACGGCTGACTAGAATTTGCGAGAGAACGAATGTTCACATCATTGAGTTAGTTTTGCCAATTTCTGAATTGGCTTCATCGTAAACATTAATGAAATCATCTATCAAACAGTGAAAGAAATCAATACCTACCAATAAATTGTGACTCGGATCTCGCAAGTGCGGAAAGGTCTAGCGTCCAGTCACCTTCAACCAGTCGTTTTGGGTATCCTCACGCGATTATATTGTCAAAAGGCTCTACAATATCTTACCACGCAAAAGTACTAGATTCCCAATATGATGAATGATCTGAGCTTGGTTCGATTATTCTAAAACTCTACGAAACTATATCTTTCTTGTTTTTTTTCATGAAGAAATCCTTCACATATAAAGGAATTACACTCTTACACAGTAACTGCTGGCTTGTTGGACAAATGTCGTCAGTTTGAGAATTGGTTTAACTCCCCTTCCTCGAAAAAAGGTCTGGCAACGCCCCTATTCGTTATCACAGTTTTACGATCAAAACAATCTGATGTGTAGTTAATCGAGGGGCAATGGATCTATTTCAGAAAAAATAATTCTTCAGCTCGTTATGCGTCATACTGAGTCACTTGGGATAGTTAACAATGAAATGTAGCTTTGCGGAAACCCATCGAAAGTCTTCTACCTAGGAGTACGTCTCGTTAATTGCTCCAATAATGCTAAATAAAGATTAGAGGTCTTGTACGGTGGATGGTGGATGACCGTTTGTGGTGGTTCCTGGTATTTGTTCCAGGCAAGGGTGGTTTGCAGGATGCTGGGGTTCGACGGTGCTCTAGACGCGCAACGATCGGCTAGGTTCGGTCCGGGTTCCGGTGACATTCTTTACATCGACTGTTTTGGATCAGAAGACAGCCTGTCAGACTGTTTAGCTTGGGTTGACTCTTCCTGTGAGCATCACATGGATGTAGGTGCCGTGTGTTACTCAGGAGGTACGTTTGGACATGAGGAAACGACCAGTCGTAATTCACTCTAAATGGCATACCGTTAGAATCGCATGAAAGGGAAAACAAATCTTCTTTTGAACCTATTAAGTCATTGATACACTTGTCCCCATCAATACCTGAGAATTATTTCAATTACAAAAGTATAACCTTCCGTTCGGGAAAATGATTGTGTAGGTCGTGTCACATTTAATTATAGAGTTTGACATTGTACATGTACATTTAGTTTGCTTTAGTTCATACTTTTTTCATTTTTAAAATTTAGTCCACCCGAATCCATTTCAGGTTCGTCTGATCGGTGGCACCACCATAACAATGTTGTTCTTCAAAAATACCTTTCATTTACAGTAATTTCTTATTCATTCGTTTGTATATATTAATAACGATGTAAAGTGTGTCCTTTGTTGTCTACATTCATTTACACGGAGAAATTTTTCGGTGGTTTGCTGCGCCAGGTCTGAACAATCTTTTAGCGAAATTTCTTATGTTTTGAATGATTTGTAAGCAATAATGTTAGTTTTGGTCGAGCTGTTTTAAAAGCATATCTTATTTCGTACAAACTCCGTGTATACTTTTTGTATTACAAACCTGTCTACCACTTCGGGATTTCGTTGGTTTTATTAAACTGTACAATAAATACAAATCTGAGTTCCTGTGAAATGTGAAAAAGAATAATTTTTTCTCCTCAGCCCACCCCGAGCCATTTAAAGTTCGTCTTGTCGGTGGGTCTAACGATGCTGAAGGCACAGTAGAAGTACTGTATGATGAATCCTGGGGAACTATCTGTCATGATGGCTGGGATCTGAGAGATGCGAGGTGGTTTGTAGAATGCTGGGGTTTGGTGGAGCCTTGGACGCACCGGGATCTGCTAGGTTTGGTCAGGGCTCTGGCCGCATTCTTCTGAACTTTGTCAACTGTGATGGAACTGAAGTAAACGTAGCAGAATGTATTCAACGATATATTGGAGACTACAATTTCTGTGGTCATGATCGCGATGCCGGCGTCATTTGTTATTCAGGAGGTATGTTTTTAAAAGCCATATTTTGAATCAACCTCTATGAAATGCTTCCAGAATTCTTTGCTTAAACATTAAATATAATAATATAAGATTATGCGACAGAAGGCCATTAAGGCCATTGCAATTCACCATAGCTATGATTTGTTATGGTTTATCAAGTTTCAAAAGAGACGTTTTAAAAATAAACTTTGTGTTTTTATTTAAATAAATGATATCGAAACGTTAATAATGATACTGATAAAATGTGAATCACTTGTCTTGTGTATCCCCCATTTCTCTCCCGGACTATTTAATGAAGGGAACTGTTTTGTGGTTTAAGGTATCATTCTAAAACGAATCAAAATTGTCTACGGTAATAGATAAAAAGGGGCTTACCACTACACGCCACGCTTTTAATAAGCCTCTCATTTTCACATGTTACATAGAAATAGTTTAGTTTTGGCATCAACTACGTTCGTAAATTCGTGAATTTGTCACTAGGCCTACATTTTTGCAATGTCTATAATATTGTTTCCAGTTGTAATATCCTCCAATTTGTTATATTGTTTGCGTCTTGTATACATTCAAGCATGTGAAATAAATAAATTCGACAACAAAAGAATGCCTGCAAAGATTATATAACTGCGTTGTCCCAATTGATGTTGTGTGCTAACTCACAATCAATGGTTTGATTATATTATCAATTGGTTTTGATGCAATTATCAATTACTGACTTTCATTGCCCCAGCTCATCCAAATCCTATCGAAATAAATCTCGTAGGTGGATCCAGCAATGCTGAATGAAGAGTGGAGGTCTTGTACAATGGATCATTGGGAACTATCTGCGATAATGGTTGGGATCTACGAGACGCGAGGGTTGTCTGCAGAATGCTGGGGTTCAAGGGAGCCTTGGACGCACCGACTTCTGCATGGTTTGGTCAGGGATCTGGGGATATACTTCTCTATCTTGTCGGCTGTGACGGAACTGAGGACAATCTTGCGGAATGTGCGAATCTTGGGTTAGGTGTCAATTACTGCGGACATGAAGAGGATGGTGGTGCCATCTGTTACTCGGGAGGTAAGTGTCTACACTTTCAGCAAAAAGATGATAGATGAACCCCTTGTATTGATATAGTCAAGCGCAAGAGTGAATTCCTGATATTTATGGAAAGATTGTTGTCGTGCCAATTGAGAGCGTTTGAGTGACATCCGCGCCGGATAGACGCTGTTCTGTCGTTACATTCTACTTTGCACAAGGTGACGTAGGTGTAGTGAATGTGTGGTCACATATACAAAAGGGCACTATTGGTTTGATGGTCCTATATCTTAAATATATTTGTTTTTCAGTCTTATTGGCATATGGATGCTAGCACTAAAGGTTTCCGTATCTCCTCCGGCATTGCAATGGATAGTAGGGATGTCTACGATGCAGGGTAAACGGAAATATAGTAGATGAAACGATTTTAACCCCAAAGAAAGTTCAATCTAACAAAATATTGATTTATTTTGAATGCACTCCCCATGATTTTATGAACAGCAGAACTATTGTGGCTATACTGAAATAAAGTAAATTCCTTTTCGTTCTAGCTCATCCCAACTCTGAGGGAGTACGGCTCATGGGTGGCTCTAACAGTTCTGAAGGCAGAGTGGAGATCAGATACAACGGCACCTGGGGAACAGTCTGCGACGATGGTTGGGATTTGCTAGATGCAAAGGTCGTATGCAGAATGCTGGGATTTGGCGACGCCTCAGCTGCACCAGGTGCATCCCGGTTTGGCGAGGGTTCCGGTAAAATTCATTTGTCCGTAGTCGGGTGCGATGGGACGGAAGACAACCTCGCGGACTGCGCACATCTAGGGTTTGGAGTCCACAACTGCAAACATGGCGAAGACGCTGGGGTCACGTGCCTCTTAGGAGGTACAATACTTAACTCTTCATTTTGCTTATTGCATCCAGTAATAATAATAATAATATTCCGCTTTTGTATAGCGCTATACAGATGTATACAGATGTACTATTACTCCCGGTCATTGGATTCAATACTTTGGGGAGCATTCCAACCAGGCATTACTTGACACCAAAAAACTGTTTGACCAACGGTCGCATCCTACCAGGTACCTATTTAACCCTAATAAGGCCGGGGGGCGGGGGCATTATGCCCCCCCTCCACGATTTTTCCGATTGCTCGGGAACGCATATGGATGGCGCCCCGCCGCTCGCTGACCTTTTTCTTTCGAGTCTTGCGCAACTTTTAAAAGATTTTTTTTTGAAAATCGGACCTACGATTACAAGGTCACGTGACCCTTTTGTCATTCCATGTACAAAACATAGAAACATGGAAAAGTCATTTTTTCTAAAAACAGATCAAACATGGGTTATTGGGTCTTGTTTAAAGTTAAGGTGGTTGTTTTGGGAGTCAATATAGTTGAATTGTAGTAAGAAATGAAATAAAACAACAAAAACAATGAAATACATAAGAAATTATCAAAACAAGGGATAACATAAGAAATAAGGGCATAAGGGCATAATGCCCCCCGGCCGTACTAAGACCTCAAATAGCCCGGCCTTATTAGGGTTAACACTTGGTTGGAGAGTAGCAAGTGCAGGATTAGTGCCGTGTCCGGATCCTAACACTCGTTCTTCGCATCTCCAGTCAAGCGCTTTAAACCACTCGGCCATGACATTCATTAATGTAACCATTCAAATTGACCTTAAAATGTACACAATTATGAATAAATTGCTTACACTGACGTTGTGTATTGATAGATTTATTACAAAAAAACAATAACCTTTTCACCAAAATTCATTTTAAAGATAAATATTTGTGTACCGGTCAAAGGAATCGAAAGCACCATATCATATTAAGCATTTATAAGTATAGTTGGAGTCAGTGCAAAAGGCGAGAAATGAAGGACAATGATCTGTCTGTTTTGGTTGAAAAGACCAACACCTCTTTTATGTTTGTTATTCAATCTAGTTCGACTTGTAGGTGGAGCCAATAAATATGAAGGAACAGTTGAGGTACTACACGAAGGGTCTTGGGGAACTGTATGCGACGATTCGTGGGACATAGACGACGCTAAGGTTGTGTGTAGACAGTTAGGATTTGATGGGGCTTTAGCTGCTCTACACGAAGCAAGATTTGGCCCAGGTACTGGTGAAGTCTTGCTGGAAGGTGTGCAGTGCAATGGGACAGAAGCCAGCCTCATAGACTGCAATTATAAAGGGATACGACAACATAATTGCGGGCACAAAGAAGATGCCGGCGTCTCATGCATGCATGCAGCTAACCAAGGTAAAATCGCTATTGTACATAGCACTAATAGCAATATGTTAACCAAGGCTGTTGTTTCTACTTGGTCCTCTAATTTACACTGAAATATTATAATCAACAAGACAGATGACCTTCATGAATCGTCACTGCAGTCAGATGATCCGGAGCATGAAATGAACCGTTCATACAGTGTGGCAAAAAGATATACATGTCCTTGGACCTGAAAACCTTTACCGCATTTCCGATTCAAAATGTTAATTCTTTTTATCACAAAACAAGTCTTATGATAGAAGTGAATCACGTTTAAAATAAAAATCAGGCTTTTTTTATGAATTCATGTTTCATTCTAGATTGCCTACAATACCATTCCTTTTATATCTTTATAATACAATCATCCTAGCGCATGTTTTGATCTATTTTTTTCCATAGATATTTTGAAAATTTAAAATGTCTGAACCTTTATGCTAACTCAGGAAGTACGTTTCCCTTTATCTCATAACCAAGTCATTTTCAGGATCTCTTTTTACCAGGTTGGTCAACTTTTCTTTTGAATGGATTAAATGTTGAATTTATTTATTTATTTATTTATTTAATTTTTTTTTTTTTAAAATGTACAGTTCAACTAAAGATACAAATAAAGTGACGAAAAAAAAATCCCCTGCAATAAATCTCAGTTATTAAACGCATTGGCTACCATCAAAAGTAAGCTTTGAAAAGCAGGTCAATGCGTTTTTTTGTATAATGAAGCAACATGCATGGGTTACATCTTTTAAATGATTTTAATTGTTCTCCTGTCACAGACCCATCTGGTCCAGTCGGTTTAACTCTAATACACGAGAACGAAGGGTCAGCAATCAATTCCAGCTTTCTCAGGGTCATAGCTGATGTCGATACGACGATAAGATGCCTTGCCAATACATCAGTAGTGTCTCTCCAGTGGTATCCCAATTGTTCTGATCTTTCTTACCACGGATGCAATGAGGGTGATCTACAGAACGGTAGCCGTGCATTGTCATTTACCCCAAGAGCGAATCAAAATGGAACCATTCTAACATGCCTAATAGAGAACACGTATGAAGCACCGGGAAATATTAATACCTCGATTACATTACAAGTAGAAGGTATGTTTTTTTTATTTACTTTTGAATTGAGAATTTTACTGATTCATGTACAACGTGTATTATATAGACTGCAGTTACATATTTTTCTTATCGTACTCTGCTTAACTGTACTCGTTGCCGTATTACAATATAATATATTGTTAATTTTATGTCATTCTTCATAGAAAAATTTAGTATTGTAAAATTTATGTCAAGTATTTGTCCTATGCATTGAAATATTTTTGTATTATTGTATTTAATGTTCAGCACATTGAAGTGTACTATGTAATGTGTTATGTGAATGTAAATTTGTATTCATTTATTAATACTGTTTGTGCAAAACCCTTTTTTTCTTCTTGATGAATGTCTATGTCTGGCCACAATCGTTTTCTTCAAATAGATTTATGTGAATGCAGAACAAAGATTTTCACTTGCCGCATATGCGTACACAATTTTTTTCTCAAAAATCTAGCTTGTACCAAGGACCTATCACCTGGAATTCACTTTCTCAATCAAAGAATCTCAATGGCCTA